CCCAATTTGAAATTCGGCTGAATTTGTATTCCGTATTTCGTATTTTGCCTCTCAAGTGGCGGCGGTCTTTAGTTAATGTCAGTCACAGAACAGAGCCCAGATGTTGCCCAACTTCTCTCTCTCTGGCTTCTGGGGGATTAATTAGGCATGGGCACTATACTCTGTACACTCTGTATACTTTGTATTGTAACAAAGACTTCATTAAAGAGGCAACGGCAACCTGATCGGGCTTATCAAATTTGCTGAGCGCTTTTAATTTTAATTCCACTGCTAATACATCATCGTAATGCGTCACCCAGCAATCAACCGAAGGTGGCACAGTGGTCCATGGGTTCATTATACAGTGGGTCCCCTTTTTTTGGGTGGTGCAATGGTGCGGTCGTGCGTGTGTGTGATAAGTCCTAGAAAGCAACGAACTTCACGTTCCGTTTTTCACAACAGTTGGTCCTGCACAACCCTCAAGGATTCAGGACTCCCCCTATTAGTGATTGGATTTCTTCATATGAGGAAATTACACTTGGGAAAAATAATGGGGGTGGTTTTTAAATTCATTTTAAAATATTTATAAATCATATAAAATATTATTAATATATATATAAAGTCGAGACTCGAGTACTATTTCGCAGGATATAGTGGAGTTGGAATGAAATATCGCTACGTCGCTAAAGTTTACTCCCTGAATTCGTACTTGGGAATTTTAAGGGCACGTTTGCTTTGCTTTCCACATATAAATAAATAAATACATAAAATAAAATCCCTTTACAACAACCAAACATCCAGTAATACTTGGAAATGTATACCATATTTTGTATAATAATACTCATAATTTAAAAAACCTCTAAAATAATTTATATCTTATTTTAAAACCAATTTTAAAATATATTTCCCCGTGTAGGCTAGTGCGAAAATCAAGTCGAGGTTAAAAGTTGCCTCTGGATCCGCGGTGGTGTTGATTTTGTTGCCCTTGTTGGTGGTGGTGGTGGTGGCAACGTCAAGGTGAAAGCCGCTTAAGGTGGCCAAGGGATGGGATGAATGAAGCCAAGGTCCTTTTGTTAGGACTCGACATGTGCGCTATTGGATTAAGTGGCGAACGGCGGCGATTCAAGGACAATCGGCTGCGCAGCACGAAGCCTGGAGTCCTGCCACCTTCTGTCCAATTCGGAGCTAGACCGCGTAACAGGAATCCATTAAGGTGACCGTTTTATTTGCTACATTAGCGTGGGCCGGGGGATGCCCCTTTAATGCATGCATTTAGCCATCTGCCTGCATTTCACGTACTAGAGTGTTAATTGAGATTTCTTCTCTCTCCTTTTATTTTATTGGAACATTTTGGTGGCTAGTCGAGCGGAATGGTCAGGATGTGAAGTCGTCCTAACTCGGTTACTTCAAAAGCAGCCTGCCTGCCTGCAGCATGCTAATTCCAAACGAAAGGATAAGGACAACAGTCAGGCAAAGCCAGCTGCTCTTGTGATATAGAAATAGAAAGTCGCCCACGTGCCGTAGGAATGCCAGGAATTCCATTCAGGAATTTCCAATCAATTTTAATTGGCACCCCATCGATGGATGGATGGCAGCGAAAGGAAATCCAGAATATTTGTGCATAATTTTAATTAGAGCATTTTTCTATTTGCGCAATTTATCTTGTTGCCTTTTCGAAATATTTGGTAGCAATGGGTGTCAAGTCAGTGCAATAAATTATTTTAAACGAGCATGTCGAAGATGTCGCCCCGCCTCCACCTTCTAGTCCTCCTCCACACATGTGCATGTTTCGGGTATTTCAAATATTTTTATGTCTAGAGGTCCCTCGGACTCGGTTTAGGTATTCTATAGGAGCGCAGGAACCTCCTCGGGATTTATGTGCAATCGGGGGCTCCGAGATAAATCTCCTGCGCAGTCAAGCGGCCAGCCAATCAAAGTTGCAGCCACGGCGTTGGGCTTCATTCAAATTGCTCCCCTCGGAAACTCATTTAAGTTTTCCTCCAACTCGGAGACAGAGATAGGTGAAAAGGATAAGAGGTCCTGGTGGTGGTGGTGGTGGAGTGCCAAGGGATTGGGCCGGCCAACTTTGGTCCGGCTTAATTGCCCAGTGTCCTTGGACGGGGGAGGCTTAATTGCCCCAGCCTGTGACTCCTTGCCCAAATGCTTAATTGCCATTTAGTCCTTTTTAATGGACTCTACTGTTCCGTTCGTTAGATTTCCGCTCACCTCCTTGCTTACTTTTCGGCGTGTCCAGTGTCCTGTTGTATCCAGTGTCCTGTCGATACAACTCAGAGTCGCAGATAAACTTGCAAATGCTAGCATTTTAATGGCAGGCAGCATTTTTGACTTAATATGTCCCAGCTTATCTGTGTATCTCGGTCTCCTGCATGTCCTGTCTGTGTGTCCCGAGTCCTGTGCCCCTTGGGGCCTGAACTCCTCTTTAGCCTGTTTGTATTGCATAAATTTTGGCCAAATTGTTTTGCTGCCGGTCTGATAAGACGCCGTCGATGGCATGACAATTAGCCCGAACTACATTTAAAATATTACTTTTGGCCCTCGGGTTTCGCTTTGGTCCTGAACTCCACTCACGATGTCCTGTGTTCTGTGTCCTGTGTGTGTCCCCTTGTCGTGGTCAGCTTTAATTGTTTCTTTGGGGGTCGTTCGTTGAAAGCGCAAACACGATTTGATTGCTGATATCCCAAATATTGACTATTGGCCTTGAATGCGAAAGTGTTTTGCTTTTAAACGGAAAGTTTCTTGGTTGGGGTTTTGAATTTAAAATAGTTGAATTTAGTTTAGTTTAGTAAAAAGTTAAGTAGGGGATAGTTTTTGCTTGTTTATAAATGGATTTACCTTTTCCACAATACCAACTTTGTCATTAACCATTAACACCTTTCCAAGGACTTCCCCTGAGTGAGCAGAGTTCCTTTTCTAACCTTTTATATCTTTATTTTTCTTGGCTCTTTTCAACCTGCCACTTCACGTGGCTCCTGCTCCTCCTCCCGCTCCTTCTCCTCACTCCCATTGCACTTATATTTAATGAAAAAACGGGCGCATTATTATTAAATTATACCCTGAGAAAGACCTCACACCCTTTTGGCCTTATTTGAGCGCATGACATAAACATAAACTTTGCGCCTTTTGTGCTAGCAAGTCTTGAGGGCATTCTGTATATAAGTATGTATACGTATCCTGATCCTGGCCGGCGGCTAACAACAACAACGACAATAATGCCAACAAACACCTTTAATATTTTCATTATGAAGTCATTCAGCGCGATTATTAACGCGTGACCCCCAAGGCGATGCACAGCATCCAGAGGAGGCCAAGGCGGATGACGGTTGAGGTCCACCCTAATGAACAACAACAACAAAAGCAGGGGCCAAAGTTTCTCAGGCACTGAAAGAAATATTTTGTGAATTTTTAAATTCATTAAAAGAGAATTGATATAGTAGTTACTTAAGAACCTTTTTTTTTATTAAAATATTCATAAACCCCTTCAAATATTAACCTAAAAAATTAGTTTTTTTAATGAAAATATTTTTGTATTATTTTTAGCAGTATAAACATATTAAGTAATAATTTTCTTTGTATAAAAGAATCTCAGAAACTTATTAATTTATATAAAAGAAAATTTTAGTCTTAAATCTTATACAATAATTTCCCAAAAATCTATTTTAACCCATATTTTTTCCTCGTGTTCTCTTAACTCCAAGGTAAATTACATTTTTTTTTTGTTTATAAGTGGCAGCCGCCCTCTGGGAGGATCTGCCCCTCATCCGATGCCGGGCAAGTGCAGCTGTACCTAATAATCATAATAATTGCGCCATGGGCGTCGACGGCGTCGTCAACTTTTCCAGACGCCATCCACATCCACGTCCACATCCCTCGGAACAACAATTGCTTATAAAGTGCGTGTGACACATTAACGGGAAAAGTCCGGCGCGAAAAGACCGGGAAAACCCGAACGGCCGCCGCACGGAAAAAGGCAAATAAAACTCGCGGCCAGTGGGCGAACTTCAAAAGAAATAAAGAACTGAAAGGAAAAAAAAAAATTGGAGCGAAAAGAAAAGTCCTTTAATGCCGTGAATTTTCCGCGGGATTTCTATAAAGTGCAGGAGTGAGAAAATGGGAAAATTAGAGGGGGTCGCCGGTTTCACTGCGGTTTCACTAGCGTAAATTGAAAAAATGTTCGTGCGTAAATTGGCTTTTTGGACGGGGGTTCCCCTATATCATCGGCTAAGAAAATTTAAATGGAAACAGGCGTGGCTTGGCTGTTCACCTCTCGACCGTATTTTTCCATTTTCCGGTGACCCGGCCACTTTTTCAAATTGAATTTTGAGAGCATCGAGAGCTCCTGAGAAGGGACAGGAAAAACCCGGCAGCAAATTAAAAAGAAATTAAGCCAATTTGCCTGTACAAGCCAGGATGCGCGGATGCCAGGCGGAAAGTGGCCGCCGCCGCGACTTCTTGTTGTGGCTCGTAAATCTTGGCCCATAAATACCCGGACAAGTGCCTCGGACTTTGGACTCCGGACACTCTATTCCGCTTCCGCCTCGCTTCACTGCCAACGTCTTCATTTCGGCGTAAAATTCTTTAATCTCTCGTTCAATTCAATTAGTTCAAGCTGACTAGTTAATGCCGCTTCTAGTGTCCTTTTCGCCGGAGAGGTGAGTGCTATCGTCCTGCTTTTGACTTTGTCACCGAGCATTAACTTTGACAATTTATGGCTACTCTAAAGTGGAGGTCCTAGTTCTGGCCGTGAATTTTTATGGTTATTGTCATCGGCCGATATTTGTCTAATTAGGTAAGTAACCTTTTCGTGTTGCCAGTTATTGAAGGGAAATTACTAATTCTGATTAGCTTAAAAATTATTAAAAATTAAAAGATGAACTTTGGGGAGGAAAACATTTTTAAGTCACAAAGATCAAATCCAAGATGCCCCTGAGAAGAGATTTTTTAGAAGACTTAACGCTTAGGAAAATATTTAAAGTACCTCTATAAGTTAACCATCTTTAAAATATAATCTAATGATATTTTTTATTATAATTATTACCGATTTACAAGGAAATATGATGCACATATGGAATCGGAAATGGGACTTAATGGTTTCTAACTCAAGATACAAAATTTAGAATTTTCGTAAGCTAGAATCAATATGAAGTGTATCTGACCTAGCACAAATACAGATTTGGACATGATTCCGGTACCTACAAATTCGTAATTTGTATAAATTCTGAAAAAATCCACGGAAAAAATGAAAATTAATCAAAATTCATGAAAATATTAGCTGTCCGTGATTCTCTCCTCAAATGGGGATTTAGTCGCTGCTATCCTTGGCACCGGCACCGGTTCCCCTAAAGGAAGGACCAGCTACACCACCAGAGCATCCTGCGATATTCTCGTTTTCACGCGGCGAAGAAAGGGGGCTGGCATTGTCCTCCCTGGGTTTGGCCTTGCCAAAGATCAGGGCCGCCTGCTTGGTCTCGGCCAGAGCATTGATGGGAGCAGTCACTGTTCGGGGCTTGAGCACCAATTTCGGACGATCATCTTCATCCAAAGGGCTGAAAGGATTACTTGAAGCTGGTCCTGTTGGGGGTCCAGCTTCTTGTCTTCGATCTCGACCAAAATCGCCTTGAACATTTCCGTTGTTTCGAAAGCCAGAACTGCCGGCATTATTCGGATTGTAATGACCGCGGCGATCGCGGTTTCGATTCTGCACAAAGTTGTTGTAGTTTCCATTTCCATTTTCCGCATTTCCACCGTTATTGTAGTTGCGTTGCCGCTGACCGCCACCGCCATCGGGATTGTTGTTGTGAAAGGTGCTGTTAAAATAAATTTAAATAAATTAATAAATAATTTAATAATATAAGTTCTCCTCACCGATTAAAATTAAAGTTGCGGCTGCGCTGAAACCCGCTGCTCGACTGCTGCTCATCGAAATTGGAGTTGTCATTGCGCTGGCGTGGATTGCCTCCCTGGTAACGATTGCCACCGCCTCCTCCACGATTATTGTAGCTGCCACGCACCTCACGGGTACTGCCAAAGGACATGGAGCTCTGAGTGGGACTACTGCGAGACAGTTGATGGTTGCTGTTGCTGCGCCTTCGAAATTGCTGAGATCCAACGCTGTCATCCCGCCGATAATTGCGACGCTGTTGGTAGGTTCCTCCTCCTCCGCCTCTGCCACCCATGTTTTGAGATCCACCAGCTCCACCTCCACCAGATCCGGTGCCCGGCAGCGCTCGACGATGATCCGCTATATCGATACGAAGTGGAGCTGAAAAGTTATCCAACTTGATGCGACCATTGCAGGAGAGGGCCCTCTTCAGCTGTTGCAGAGTCTCAAACTCCACATAGCCATAGCCCTTGAACTCGTCCGTTTCGCGATCCTTGATGAGGCGGACATTCTTCACCTCAAAGTCGGAGAAGATCTTCATCACATCGCCCTGGACAAGGCCCTTGGGTAGGTTGCCCACATAGGCATTAAAAGGCGGCTCTGTGGGCACCTGGCGCTGTTGGTCTCGATTGCGGTCGCGGTTACGAAAGTCCCGGAAGTTGCCACGATTGTTGTCCCTATTGTCCCGATTGTTGTCCCTATTGTTGTCCCGATTGTTGTCCCGATTGTTGCCATTACGATTAAAGTCGCGACTCATGTGTTCGCCATCATTGTTGAACTCGCGGTCTTGCTGGCTGGAACGATTGGCCATAGTCCTTGTCCCGAACCTCTGGTCGTACCTCTCAAGACTTCTTCCAGCACAGACAGAACACCACCGAAAACGCTGAACGAAAAGTCCGGAACTTGATATTCCAGACGCTGTTAATAAGTCTACACGAGACGTGAGACTGACATTTGAAACGAAGGGTATCTACTCGTCTCTTGACAGAAGACTCAAAGCTAACTAGAAGGGGTTTGTTTTTAGTTGGAAGTTTTTAGATGTTATTTAGATAGATTATTTTAGTTAAGCTTTAAAAAATGATTTAGTTGCTTATTAAATTCCAGGAAAAATATTATCATAACCGTAATTTATTTCTTAAAACCCAAGAAAGTCTTATACAAAATTGCAAAATTAAAACTCAGAGGCAACCCTTCTTTATACAAAAGTCTGTTTTGCGCTTGGAGTTAAGGTAAACCATAAATGATTAATTATGGCGCCTGTTTGCCGCCTCCTTTGTCCCCTTAACCCCTTTGTGCCTCACCATATTTTTGCAAAAACATGTGTAAGCAACAGCAGCGCCATCTTCGCCGCCAGTTTGTGTTTGTTTTATGGATAGCAGCCAGTACATGAAAAAGTCAACAGTAAATAGTGCAGCCAAGCAACAGCAGCAGCAGCAGCAGCAGCAGCAGCAGCAACAGCATCAGCAGCATCAGCAGCAACATGTATATCAGCAAATGCCTTGTGTTTGCCCCGCGAACTCATGACTCATTTTTGTACATTTGTCAAAATTTGTGCCATACATCATTTTAAACAGTGCCTGGCCCTGGGGAAGGAGTAAAGGTTGTGCTTTGGCCACAGCCATTGGGAGTGGGTTGAATCCAATTCTATCCTGGCCTGCATTCTGTTTATATTCTCTCTCCCTCTCTGGGAAACCTTGCCCCACTGGGGGCCCAAGATAAATCGCCAGCAACACGGAATTAAAAACTGATGTAGCGATGTCACTCACAGGGAGTGCAGGCAAAAAAATAAAACCTAAATTAACTAGAAAGAGTGTAAATATTCAAGGGAACTAGATAAGAAATTCTAGAAATTCTAGAAAACTATTTGCCATTCATTAAATAGTTATTTTTAATAGGAAAATGTTTTAGTTATAGGAAAGCTTACTTCACATTTGCAGGAATAATCTTATATTGTTTACCAGATATATGTTTTTTTAAAGAGATTTCTCCCAGTGCCCCAGCTAGAAGAGTTACAGCTTCTGGCAATATTTAACTAACAAGTTGCAGTGGAGACTGGAGACCCACAGAGGAGAGACGTTCGAATCGAAGTGCACGGAGTTTGGGCAGTAAATAAATTACGAGCAGCAAATAAACGCGCTTCATTGCATCATCGATGGACACTGGGCTACATGGCAGAGGTGGAATAGTAGTAGTAACGGAGATGGGGGGTACAGGATCCACAGAGCCAAAGACAAAAACCCAGAAAGATGTATGGACAAACACAGGGACAAGCAAACGGAAGCGGAAATGCTTTCAGCTGTCGAATTTGTATGAGCTAAGGGGTCCCATTCCTCCTCCAGAGATCCAGAGCTTTTGTTGTAAGCGCTCAATCATTTGATTGTTGCAACTGCGAAGCTCAGCTCATCGATCAGAATTAATAAAGATTTGGTCCTGGTGATTGACTGACTGACCCACCTCGACCAGCTGGGATTTTTGGTGGGGGAGGCGGAGGGGGAGTGTAAGGGATTGGGTGGTTGCAACATCATCATTGCCCTTGTTTCCGGTTTTTTTTCCTCCTCTTCTTCTCGTAAGCATCCTCGAATAGAGCATTTGTTTCTAATCGGGGGAATCCCACTTGAGCGGCATAGAAGCGTAAACGATTTTAGCATTACACAACATTAGCGAAATTAAATTGATTTGGAAGAAGTTTATTGAACCACCACCACCTTGAGTACACTCGAGGAAAATGTGGGATTTTAGGGGGATATTTATTTGGGGAATTTTGATAAAGGAATACTTAAAAATATTAATTTCAATGGAATATTAATATGTGAAATTAAAGTAGATATAAAAATCAAAACTAGACCTTTCCTATCCAATTTCTTTTTAAAATACCTCCTTATTTCATAATATATATATCAAATTCCTCAAACATTGTCTTTTCTCAATTTTGAGCTCATCATAATGACGTGCTTGGCTTGATTTATGCCACAGCGCCCGCAAGTATGCAGCGTAAATATCTTTATGGGCCAATATACTTATGAGGAGTTTACTCCATTAGTGCACTTGTATAGTATGTGTATACCTCACATAAGTATTAAGGGTGCTCTCCCAGGGGGTGTGGATCACTAATCATATTAAACGAAATTCATACGTCGCCGCATTTATGCGATTTGCTCAGGACCTCCTGGAAAAGGAGTCCAAGGGTAGCTTTACATATAGTACATATAGCTCTATTGTTGTTATGGCTCGGTCTGGCAACATTTTTCGTTGTCGTTTAAACTAATTGAGTGTTACAAATTTTATGTGCAAAATCTTTAAGCTAAATTGAAATTTGTTTTCCTTTTTTTCCACATATGGATGATGCTGCGGGTAGCGGAAAGTTGAACCCATTTAGTGTTATGTGCACATTCTCATCGCTCAAACCAGTAAGTGCGTTGAACCATTTTAAAATGCCCGAGTTGAGGTATGTTCAGCGGGTTTTTTTTTTTTTGTTCACGAAAACAGCCTACACAGGGTGGAGTTTATATTTAAGGGAGGACGAGGCACTTTACTTTCATTTTCATAATTGAGGTTGAAGTTCGCGATGAAATATTAAGTGTAGGATAGGCAAACAAATATATATTTTTTGTCTTTTATGGTTTGGTTAAAATATGAAGGTATTGTTTATTTGATTAGTTGGGAATTAGCATATTTTAAAAATTTAAGAGAGATTTATTTGTAGAGAGTTTTAAAGGAAATAGTGAAGTTTCAAGTGTAGATAGAAACTATGAACAAAAATCTTTTCTATGACTCCTTGAGCCCTTAATTCTTTTTATAAATGCCTTGAACTATTTCAAACAATAAGAAATGACAAATGCCACCCACTCTGCTGGAATTATGGAAGCTAATTAAACTGCCAACAGAGTGTATTTCTCAAAACAATTTACATAATTTACGATGCAAAACAATTGGCAGAGAAGTCATTGAGAATCTCGCAGAAAGGCTTGCAGGCCAAAATAACACAAAATTGCATTGCCAGGATTATATTTTTCTATATGAATTGTTCGGGCCAAGATAAGGCTAACAAGGAATCATAGTCCAAGGCGGCTGGCGACATGCTGGCCAAGACCAGAAGAAGCCCACACAGAATATAAAGAATATATACACAGAGCAACTATATCGTCTGAGATTTATCATTGGTCCCCGGTCATATATCAAGTGTTTTTGGCCAAAATAATATAATATATGGCACTTGCCAAGTTCGCAATTACCAGCAGCAAACTGTCGCGGCATTTTGAAAAATTAACATGCACGCCATTTATAGTTCTTTGTATCGGCCAGTTTGTAGATTTATGCCAATTTGATACTCCTAGTGATGCTGATTTATGGGGCCTATCTCTCTCTCTCCGAGGAACTTTCGGCTGTGGCCCATAAATAATGCCGGCGATCAAATTGCTACCTTCATGTGTCGATATTGGAGGAGGAAAATAAAGAACACAGAACATAGCAACAGAAACACAGGGAAAGGGCGGAGCTGGCAGGCTCTGTTGGACTTTCAATTAAGGCAATTGATTTTAATTAGACCACGGCTTACCATAAACATATTCCAAAGAAATTATTATTAAACACGCGACCCTCGAAAGCTGCTGGTGTGTGGCTCGTAAAGTTCTTGTTCTCCCTCATGGCACCTCACCTCACTTTGCCACATTGCCGCCTCCGGGGTGTAACTTAATATCTCCTCTAGCCATTCGGTTCAATTAGCAGGAATTACCGAGTGTATATGGCCAAGTCGAAGGCCCCGATGCACCCTGAACAGGAGGAATGGGAATTGCGGAGGAATGCGCCCACATCTTGGGCCAACTGCCGATGAAGTTGGAGGGAGGATGAGGAGCGATATATTCCTTAATTGGCCAATATAAAGGGGGCTATAGAACACTGGGGAAAATAGTATGAAATTGGTGATGAATTTATTGAAATGTTTAGCTAATCGAATTAAAAATATTATAAATAAAGAGCAGGTCATCTTTTCACCATCTTTTCTTTTTTATCTTAAAAGCTTGGAGCAGTTTTCAGCTCGAGCCTCTTTGATCCCCTCTAAGAACACTTCTTCCCACAATTAATTACCAATTTCTGTACTTAATGAAGTCTAGTTTAGTTAATTTTCTCTCAGTGCCTGCAGCGGCGACGTGCCTCAATTGAGGTGATCAACGTTAATTGAAAGCCAGCGCGGATGACTCAGCTGCCGGCTCATTAAGTGGCTGGGAATGAAACTGACGGAACTCGGAGCGGACACGGAGCCGGAATCGTTGGCGATCAAGATGAAAAATTAACATTTTGCGCATCATTAAAATTCCAATAGAAGAGATGTGCTGCTGCTCTGCTTTGCCATATGGAAATCGTTGACAAATGCCGCAACGTGCTCAATGTCTCCATTTTCATAGGCTCTATAGTACTTGTCGTTCCTTTATACTTCGATGTCAGCTGCCGTCCGCCTGGCTCATTTGTCGCCTTTTTCCGGGACACCAAGAGAGAGAGAGTGGGTGAAGTAAAACAAATGCGTCAACACCGAATTTTCATTTGGTTAATGTGTGAATAGGAACTAAAAACTATATTCAAGACACAGAGCCGAGTAGCACCATCAGTGAAATAATAACATGAATTTATCAATTTGTCATGTTGATATTTGTTTGGCAATTTATTTTCCATGTGCGCAAAGGCAGGGCGAACCACATTGAACTGGACTGAGGAGGAGTGGTTCCGCTTCTCCTCAGCTGCTGCCGCTGCTGCTGTTGGGTTTTATTTTTGGATACTCATCATCATGTGGATGGAGAGATGTTGGTGCGGCATGTGCAATGCCGGCAATTGTGGCCAGTAATTGATTGCACTACTTACACTCAGACGGAGCGGCTTTCCCGGGAGATTAGTTGCGATTCAATGGATAATTATCATCACAGATCACGGCTGCCACAGATGCGCAGATACAGATACAGAATACGGATACGGATATGGGTGCCGA